AAACATGTAAAAAGCCCCTACTTCAAAAGTAAGAGTAAAAACCATGTTAGTCTTCCTACACACAAGAAGAAAAAAAATTCATAAGATATGATCCACATCAGTTCTCCTTTTGGAAGTGAAATTGGAAGTGGGTTGTGTTTTGGCTGAAATCTTCGCAAAGCTTCCTTATCAGTTTCATTTGCTCTTTGCTTCCACTATAATAAACACCTACATTATTAACAATATAATCAATTTATAGAATAAATTAACCAAGAACAACAAAACAACTACCTAGATTGTTTCTCTTAAATTCTAGATAATAAACATGATTAGTTACTTAGAAAGAAAAGTTTTACCTATTTTTTGTGATTTGTGTTTGGAAGCTAGTCGCGCAAAGACATTTGTCCAGTTAGGTGTTCCAAAATGGGTTTTAATCTGTGCACATTTCATGTTAGACTTACCAAACTAAAGCAGAAGCAGATAATATAGAACTCGATATTAAGGTAATCGAATTAAGTGAATTGAACAAGTTAAAGTTGAACTACCCGAGTTCCAGAGATCACATCTAGTCCATTCTTAGCATGCTGCAATGACTGCACTATCTGAATAAGTGCAGATCGAGCATCACCTTCTTCATACACACTAGTCAAGTAGTTATTCATTTCGATCACATTCTGTTAATCAATATCCAGAGAAAATGCAGGGAAAATTGGTTAAATAATCAATCAATACTTGTATAATAGAATGAATTGGGGTTACTTTATGGTCTAATTAAACTTACATCTGAGTCGTATTCTGCAATTTCGTCGAAGACACTCTTAAACACATCAAAGGAGCTTTGGTGACTTGTAACCCAATAGAAGTAAGATTTATGAGGCCCCTTTTTTCTCTCTATACCCTGCATTTGTTTCAGAAACACCCACATAACACAATATCTTAGAAGATCACAAGACATAATCATGCTCAAAGAATCGATGTCGAGCAGTGTTTTCCTGCAGGCTCAGTACCTGTGTCCTGCTTTCCTGTAAGTTATTTAAGAGATCCTGAAGGATGCTGAAATTAAGAGTTGCTCCAAGGCCGAAGCCAATGAGCAAAACAATATCGTACTTTTTGTAATCCTGTGCTGGAACACCATACGGGCCTTTCATAATTATGTGCGGAATGCTACGCCTACAACAATATAGAACAGGTACATCTTATCAGCACTCACCTGTGGAAAGTGAAATGCAAAAACAGCTTATACTACAGTGTAATCTTAGAGAATGCTCTCACAATTTTGGTTCAAGATCAGAATCACTCGCTGCTCCCTCATTTCCGATCTCATGACTCACTGAAGACTCATAAGCCTACACTTCATATATAGCAATGTCATTGAGGATATAACTTTTAAGAAACCAAATTCATAGGTCAGACGGTCTAATTTCCGAAGATCACCCACTGGGACAATAGAGTTGCAGAATGCAGACTTTTAACTTTCTATTATATATACTACGGAGTAATATACTACAGATTTATGGAAAAGAAAAGCATGATTTGACAAATAGTCATTAGAATTTCATTCATATTGGCTTACTGATGCTGTTAATGTCACAAAATGTTCCAGAAGTTTCGCGTTCCACTCTCCCAATGATGTATTGATAAGAACATGTATGTTGTCATCATCAGGAGCAGAGACAATAGAAAAGGGATGCCTGTTGCAAATTATAAGGATTCCATTTTGAGTGATTAAATCAACTGCTGAATGAAAATGTGCATCATGTGAATTTGCTGAGCAGTTAGACTGATTACCATTCAGAGATCGAGATCTGAGGACACTTGAAGAGAACATACATTCCAATCTTGTACTTAAATGTAGGTGGTTTCTTCATGTATAATACCAGAACATTTCCTTAATGTAGGACAGCCTGAAAAGTGTGGAGGTAAAATCTAATTGTTTCCCAACTTTCAACAGAAAAATAAGTACATCCATTATAAAAAGATCGAAGAAGACCTTTACGATGAAAACTGGATGACTTTGATCCATGAATGCTAGTCCTTGGTCATAAGCATAGAAGCAAACTGGGACCATGAGATGCATCCATTTCTACATTGATCATCAAAAGACAGTCATGTATGGAAAAGTATAGATGATTTACAATTTTATTACTCCCCCGGTCCCTTAATTAAGAACCTATTTGGGTTTTTTCACGGGAATTAAGAAAGTTGGTAGAAGTACATAAATGCATGTGGGGTTAGAGAGACATAGATAGAAAAGAGGAAAAAAAAAAAGAAAAGTGGTTGAGAATAACCGAATAATTGAAGAGAGGGAGAGCGAAAGTGTTGAAAATTGATGTAAAAAATATCATTAGTACAAAAAAGTGATTACAACTCATCAAAAAGTGGAGAATATTATCAAATAGTAGTATAGTACAATCTTAAAAAATAAATAGGTTCTTAATTTTAGACTCCCCAAAAAGGAATACAGGCTCTTAATAAAAGGATGGAGGGAGTACATGTAAATTTTAATTTTTTGTTAGGTATCTTTTCTTATATTCGTATACTGGCGTTAAATATGTACATTTTACATGGTGTCAAAGCCAAGTACAATCAAAAGCATACACAATCACTAGCAAATGGTACGCGTAACTTCTGAATGAGTGAATTGAGAAGGTGGAATTGCGAAGGAGATATTTAAGCTCTTGAATACAAGTACATAAATATATGATTTATCATATATTAAGCATACCTGAAAATAATTTTTTGTACTAGATACTGGTTTCCAGAATTTTTCAGAAAATGTTCTTTTTAAACCTCTAAGCATCTCCACACGGTTTTTGTTGTTTGTTGAAGTCCTCATCATATGCCTTGAGCATAATGTTTCTAATTGCCAAATCTGTATAATATCAATGATACTTGAGTATAAGAACAAAGCGAAGCTAGACTAATAAAAGACCGAAAAGGAATGAAAAGTTTAATTTGTCACTGAGAGGGCAGAGATAATATGATGTATAAGATTGAAAGACATGCCTCTATAAATCCAAAGTCATCAGGATCAAGCTCGTTCACGATCAATGTTGCATAGTCTGCCGCTTGTGTCTTGAGGTTATCAAGTTTGTTAGTCGAGGCACTAAACTCGATAGCCTGAGGTAGGATCAAACAAAGGGAACATCAAGTCAGTGGTGAGCAAGAAAGCTTACTATATATGATCTAAATTTTTTAAGAAAATCATTTGTTTTCTTCACCTCACGAATTTCTTCTTCTGATAATTCCCCATCATCATTCTTGTCACAACTACAAAACGAAATAAAACAAAAACAAACCATCAAGCTAGATTGAACCTTTTCTAGCTTAGTAAGCAAATAAGAGAAAGAATAGAGTGAGAGAATAATTTGCCAACTTACAATCAAAGAAGAGCTGCAACTGGTTTATAAAGTCTTGCGCGTTCATCAGTGCCCAAACATCATACATTACAACCATTTCGATCCCATTTGAAGTATTTAATCTTAATCTTCTTGCATATACATTGTATATCTCCATCGCAAATTCTTCTGAATCTTCCATTCCTTCATTTCCAAATAATCATTAATATCTTAGCAACAAATCTACGAAGTCATGTATAGAACTTACGTACAACCTTATCCCAAACATTGGTGATAGGATTTTCAACTTCAACCAGTAATCACACAAGTATTGTATTGTTATTTAGAATCGACAAGGTCACAATAGAAAGTCATTTGCTTAATTGTGTTACAGGTTGTGCATCACATGATCGAATTTATAAACTATTTATTGATTATACTTGTGTTTCGAAGACAAAGGATGCCGTTTTTCTTAGGAACGATGTATAGTACACAAATAAAATGGTAAAACACACAAAATAATTTGTAGAATGTAGGAATTGTACCAATGACGACACCAAATTTATCTTTCGCGAGCACACCATCAACAGCACTCTCTCTAAACCTCTTTTCGACAGATATCCAGGGAACGCCATCAAGAAATCTTAGACTTGGCTTTAGGCTTGACGTTGGAATATTTTGACGAAGTTCAGCTACGTTTCTTGCAAAACTACCTTCTGATAGATCAAGCTTTGGACTTTTGACTCTGGAATTTTTTTCATCAATCTTCATTACTAGCGAATCTCCTACTAAATCCATGGTGATTTCAACATAATCATCATGCTCCATTACCCCTCCTCCTACTGTTAGTAAAAACTTCTGATAGAATTATAGAAATTTTCCGGTGGAAAATAAAGATTAAAGGGCTTTTTGGATAAACACTCAAGAAATGACTCAGTCAAAACATTGTGATGATTAACTAATGATAGTATGAAGCTTTCTTAGAGAAATGGCTCGAATGAATGCGGGCTCAACGAGTTAGTAACCTAAATACAGGGCATACAGTGCAACTGAATGCAAGATTGGCAACCAAAGTACAGTTAGCACTTACATAAAATCGAAGTGATTAGGGCTTTATACGAAGTAAAAAGTAGAAATGGTAAGCAGTAGTACAGTGTAGATCACACGTTCTAGATCTTATTGAGGCAAACCACTTAATCTGTCAATTGTAGTTATTATCAACCCTGCTGGCTTTTTATAGAATATTTTTTTTTTTTGTAAAAGACAATATCTGCATGCTTATAATATCGCCTTGTTAGTGTTTGAACTTTTCCCCTGGCTCAAAGATATTGTAATCGTCACCCTAAAATCCAGTGGCGGAACTTGAAGGGTTTTGTTAGGGATCAAGGCCAAAACACTTAGCAATTTTATTAGCATAGCAGTATAGCACATCATGAAACTGCATCTATATTCTGTAAGTTTGTCTAATTTCATCTTCTCACTCTCTAATGAACAAAACTACATTAATGGAACTAATCAACCTATATTATTATTTTTTGCTAAACGGTGTTCATGATATACGTCATAAACTGATCAATATAGCCTTAAAAAGGGATCATTGATCAATTTTCTGGTAGTCAAAGTTTCCAAAGCATCGAAGCAGCCCCTTTGATGAAGATTAATTTTAGATGCGTACACGAATGAAGGTTACTACATAGATTAAAATTAGACGCGTAAACCAGAATTTTGATATTAGGTATTTTCCTGAGAAAATAAAAGAGGTTCGTATTCCACACAAATCATATCAGTAAATAACAAATAAGTCCCAAAAAAAAATTTACATATTCACATGCAATACGAGTGTAACAGACAGCTCTTATCTCCTTTTATTGAACTAGCTGGGCAAATTGTTATAAACTCTTGAGCATCCAGAGAAGATTGAAGGGAATGAATCTTGAGCAATCAATCAGACAGGTTCGCATTCATTTGTTATTTCCCCTGCTGTTTTTTTTTGCTGTATCTGAACTCTAAAGGTTCTCCTTGTGGAAGTGGAAGGTAATATTAAGGCCAACATATTTGCAAAACCTCCTCAATAATTTTATCTCACTTTGATTTCCACAACAAAATACACCTACAATATAATGATAATACATATTTGAACATTAATTAGTCAAGGCGTTATGTCAAGAACAACAAAATTAAACATAACTAAATTACTGGTCACTTTCAGAATTCAGATACTTGGAAAAAAAATTAAAAAAAAAATACCTATTTTTTGTGATTTGTGTGTGGCAGCTAGTTTCTCACCTACCTTGTACCATTCAGGTTTTGCAAAATATGTTTTTATCTGTTCAAATTCTATGTTAGACTTTACCAAAGTGACAGCTGATAAAAGAGATCATGTATTAAGGTAATTGATCTAACCAACTGGTGGAAAGTTTATTTTACCTGGCTTTCAGAAATCACATCAACTCTGTTCCTAGCATACTGCAATGATTGTACCATTTGTATAAGTACAGATCGAGCATCACCTTCTTCATACACACTAGTCAAGTAGTAACAGATTTCTATCACATTCTGTTAATTGAAGTTCCAAAGTAAATAAAGGGACATTGGTTAAGTGATCAATACTAGAACAAAAAATAGACCAAATACTGAAGCACATGACAAGTTAACTGCTAAAAATGAAATGAATTACTTGGTCTAGCAATACCCACATCTGAATCATATTGTGCAATATCATCCACGACATCCTTGAACAAATCAAAGGAGCCCTGTTCACTTGTAACCCAATAAAAGTACGCCTTTTCAGGCCTCTTTCTGCTCTCAATATCCTGCATTCATTTCAAAAATACCTCACTCAATGACTCAAACAAGATCCTAGAAGATCTCAGAATGATCTTTAACGAATTGACTGAGCAGCGTTCTGGTGTTTAGTTAGGTACCTGTGTGCTGCTTTCCTTCAAGTTATTCAAGAGATCCTTGAGGATGCTGGTGAAAAAAGTTGCTCCAGTGCCGATTCCAATGAGTAAGAGAATTTCATACTCTTTGTAACTCTTCTCGGGAGTTCCACATAGGCCTTTGATGTTTATATTTTGAAAACTGTAAAACAACGGATTTATGAAAGTCAGGCTCATTTTCTTGCAGTGGAAAGTAAAATGCTGAAACCATGTTACTCCTTATAATATGGTCATGATGTCTTCTCACATTGTTGGACATGTTGGTTGACGATCCAAGTCAATCCCATGGATTCGGTGATTGGTTGAAGTCCACATTTCCTCTAAAAATGCTTCAAGTTGCCACAACTGTATATTACCAATGGTACTTCAGTATCAGAAGCTAAAAAAGAAAAGACGAAAAAAGCAACAAAAGACCTCTATATATCCTTGGCAATCTGAGTCCAGCTCTCCCATGATCAAAGATGCATAATTTTGTGCTTGTGACTTGACTTTCTCAAGTTGGTTAGCCGAGGCACTTAAAACTATTGCCTAATGTTCAAATAAAAGGGAACTTCATGTTAGTTGTTAGCATGAAAAGTTCACTACAATAGAAAAGACGTACCATTGAAGAATCATTTGTATTCATTACCTCGCAAACCTCATCTATCGATAGCATCCCATCTCCATCTTTGTCACACCTACAAAGAACAAAATCCATCAAGACTTGACCATTTCTTGGGAGCAAATCAGAGAGAAAATACTGGAACATAAAAATGGCCATCAAATAATCAGCTTACATGTCAATGAAGATTTGCAAACGGATATCAAAATCTTGGCTAGTCATATCTTCCCAAAACATTCTCATTTCATCAATTGTTATCCCTTTTGAAGTATCCAACTTCATTCGCCTTGCCAACATATCATACAATTCGCCCGCAAATTCTTCTGAATCACTCATTTCTAAGAAAAGATTTTGAAGAAGGCTTTCGATAAGTGTTGGTGAAATAATTTTATACTTCCTCACTCTGTCCAGAAATAGTTTTCAAACTATACTAACTTCTCATAAACAAGGAATCATATCGTCCTAATCAATGATTTCATATCACTTAACTAATGTAATGTGGCTGCAGCGAATGTGGATCTGCCCGTAGCTTAGTTGCAGTGGTAATGCGAGCATTGTGGTCATGGTCAGTCATGATATGGTGGTGGAGGTTTGAGTGAGCGTGAAGGTTAGGATGTGGTAGTGGGTGGGAAAGAAAATTGATTTTGCAATACTAATTCTCCCGAAGTCTCTTTTTCTTCACTTGGGGCCATTGGGGATGGTATCTTAAAAAAAATGGAGATGATATTGCATTGCTTTAATACAGACATTAGGCTGTTACTCTTGCCATATACTCTGTTATTGAAGATAACTTTATAAAACATACTATGTTATTTATTGAACGTTATACAAATACAACATCCTTATTATGTTTAGTACAGTAGATAATATTGATTGAATTTGTGATTGATGAAAAAAATCTAATTTTTTTATGCTGAAAGCAGAAAATCCGAAAGTCAAATGAAAAAGTAAACAATTTTACCAATCACAAGATGAAATTTATCTTTCAAGAGCTTGCCACCCACAGCATTCGCTTTGAACCTCTTCTTGGTGTTTTCCCAGGAACTACCTTTGATAAATGTTAGTGTCGGGAATAATAGCGACCTTGCCAGAGCCCTGATTTGATCCAATACATCTCTATCGTTAAGCAGCATCTGGTTTGATGAATCTCCTCTGCTCTTCTTGTTGGTCATCTGAACCAACCCAACAATCAATCACGCAAATGCCGGGTTCTTAGGTTTTCAAGGTCTGTGATGCGGGTGGGTTGATGCTTGAGAGAGAGACTCAACACAACACATCTAAAATTGAGATATTGAGTTTAATATATACTAAGCATGAATGTTTCTGGAGAAAAATGAGAGCCTGGTCAAGCAGGCAGTACTTAGTAGGGGGCAACTGATGTCAAACAAAGTACAGCAAGAAAATAAAGTATTTGAAGTAAGTCAAAGGTAAGCTGTAGCCTGTAGATTACAAAGCTAATTCAAAGGTACATTTTTTGTGTATTGACAATGGAAATGCATCAATCATGCAAAATCTCTTACCAATAAATAATCCAGTAAAACAGCAGAAATTGAAATTCAAACTAAAAATTGTAACTGGTAAAATCAACTAAATATTGATTTAAAAACCACTCGAGTGATTTTAATAAGATTAAGCTTTAAAATTTAGAGAGTATAAAGATATAATCTTATATCAATGTCACCACTCCAGTACCTGAGATAAATAGCACGGAGCCATCAGCCATGGCGACAGGCAAAGAAAACATCAATACGTGCACCAGCTGCCTTGCACTAACACATCAGAGAATTCGGCTCAATTCAATAGAACTAGAACTCTGATGCAAGGAAAAACAGGAACCCTGTGCATAGCGTATCCACATATTCAAGCTTTTAAGTTAAATCATTAATGAAATTTAAACATTCAAGGGGTCGCAAGTCTCGCAACCGTGCAGCAACCACAAGTAAAGACACTCGTCAGTTTCCTCTGATATCAACCAGATAGCACACACGGAAAACAGACAGCAGCATCTGTAAGAAATGAGCCCACATCTGAGTTCCATCTCAATCCCACTTAAGTTCTTGATGAGAGTGCTCATCAATGGTAGAGGTAGATTAAGTGGGTCAAAGATGAGTCTCAGAAATGAAGCCGCTGGTTCATCCCCAACTCATGGTCCTGGCATTCCATATCAGCTTTTGCAAGAATTTGTCTGTTCAGACTGATGTCACACAAGTATTAAGGATACTTTTACTGTCTGTATAGCACAACATCAAGAAGGCATGGCAATATAAAGGTGAAATTTTTGGCTCATTGTTCTTGATCTAGTAAATACTTGACATATGCAGAAGCAAGCATTAGATAAGGGATATATGCTAAAGCAGACTACATTAACAGAAACAATAAAGAATCTGATATGGAGACACTTTGATTTCGAAGTGATGATACTATTCAATTCAAATACATTATTTACCAAGCTGTAGACGTTGAAAAAAGCCTAACTGTACTAGCTGTATTCACAAGACAACCAATTTTCGACCATTTTACTTTTTTTATCCATTTTCTCCTCTACTTTTTGGATTAGCTTTAATATCAGTAATACACAAAAAAGAAATGTAGCACCTCGTAATATATCATACATCGTCAAGGCTTGACAGGAAGGTCAACATACAAGAGCTTAATCCTGCAAAAAAAGCAAACAAAAAAAAAAAATATCGCATAAGTTGTCCAGGAATTTTCAATTACATGGTACTGAAAATGAGACCATGCATAACATAAATAACAACCAGGCCATATAAAGGGGTGCTCCAATTCAGTCCAAAGAGTACTCAACATTACTAAAATTACAACATACATTCATGTTTTTATCCAACACACATACAGGAGAGAGAGTGAGAAAGAGAGTATACATATTTAATACCTGAGAAAACACCGCTTAGGAGAATGCTCCAACAAGTCCGACCCATCTCTATTTTCTACTATGTTTCCTCAATAAATTCTTCTTTCGTTGAGACATCTTGGCACTGCAATCTACTTTCCAGCATTTGCGGGGAAGCAGCTTCATCAGGCATGTGACTAGCCTTAGCGTTGTCTTCTGTTCTTTGTCCTGTATCATCATGAATTACAACTGATGTTTTTTCACTATTTAGGCCTGTTGGCACAACATTGAGATCAGAGCTCAAATCAAATCCATTATTTTCTATGTTTCCCTGGCAAGCAACAGTAACTTGGTCATCTTGCTCAGTTACATCTTTCTTCTGCCTCTTCCATTTCTTGGTAGATGAGGTACCATCATCCTCAAAATCCTCTTCTTCCCGTTCTCTATGCAAGTAAACCCACAATTTCCTCTCTCCATCAAACTGTACACATGGATCACGCTCATAATGTAAACGATCCAGGGCCCCACTAACAACCTGATTAACCTGAGAATCAGTGACATCCTCCACAATATACTGAGAGTCTCTTATCAAAGTGCAAACATCAGCTCTGGTACCAATGCTCCCCGGTAATCTAGAAGCTGCATCTCTGACAAGGCAAAGGATGGTAACATGAGGAGGTCTATCACGTTTCAACATGAAATGATCTCGAGCTTTTGAAGTCGGCTTACCACCACATCTTCTCAATGGAGCAACTATAGATTTCTTACCATCAGCAGCGGTATAAGAGAATGCTCTATCAGGAACTGAATACCTCAGTTGCTCTTCCTTGCGGAAATAATCCCTAACTTCGTCAGAGCTTCGGGTAATGGTAGTTAGACTCTTCTGAGCTCTCAAGTCTCTGAACCTTTCTTTTTCATCAAAATTTAGCTGCATTAACTCCTGTGGTGGTGGAGGAAGGCTTCCAATTTGCTGCAGAGTCTCTTGACCACTTTTAAGCCAGTTAGCATATGAATCAACCAACTTTACAAGCATTTTACGAGAAATATTCCAAGCCTCTGGGGAAGTCAACTCCTCAGAGGTTTCATGGTCTGTTGAACTCTGTGAAACTGGTCCAGTCCAAGACCAGCATTTGGCGGACTTCTCATAACATATCAGTGGCTTCCAACCCTTGGCTCCCAGGGGTGCGGTTTTGGATGAGAAAATCTTCAAAACTCCTCTAACTAGATCTTGAAGTGGCTCCTGAGTCTCAAGAATACACGGATCCCCAGGACTAGATCTTACACGATTCACAATTTCCTGAACTGTTATAGAAGGAACATTTGAGTTTTCAGGACATTGAATGTTCATATCTAACCGTTCCACGGAACCATTTCCACATTCTTGCTTCACATTCTTATCTTCAGGTTCTGCTCCAGTGTTCTCATTATGCTTCTGGCCCTCCAAAGCACCATCAGGACTGGGAGTAATCAATGCCATGCGAACAGCTGAAAGAAGGTGAACAATGGAGAAAGAGAAACCAGTATGTACAGTAGGTGTTATTGGAACAAATGGCTTCTTTTGAGGTTTAATCTCTGGCTCTGGATCTGCAATCACAGCCTCTAGAACAGGAACTTCTGATGTACTGGCACCTGGGGAACCACACTCTGTCTCCAGTCTTTTTTTGGCCCAATTCTTCAAGGGGGTGGAATCAGAAAGCTGCTGATGAGACGTCAAGTAATCAGATCCATCTTGCCCATTAATTTCTGCAAAAACTTCCTTTCTCTTCTTCTTCTTCTTAGTGGATGAAGTGCAACCGACTAATGTAGTAGAATCCAAGTCCCTGGAACCTCTGCCCATTGGGTTGCCATCAAATATAACCCCATTCTCTTCAAGATTGTAACCTCTCATGTTCTTGGACTGCAAGGAAAATTCATAGCCAACATTTCCTTTCTGCCTTCTCTCCACAGATGAGGGAATATTCATGGACATAGGAGAGCTTCCAGCAACCTCAGATAGAACTTGGCCATTCCTTCCAAGTCTGTAAGTTGATTTCATATCACTTTCAAAACATGAGTTTCCAAAACCACCACCATAATAATAATCCTCTGCCACTCTTGTGGCAAAGTTTTGCCTCATTTTTGACGGATAAGATTCGATCTCTGGCCTTGGAAAATGCCTTTCAAAATTAGCCATTGTACTAGAGTCAGGTAGCATCCCTTCACGAGTCAAAACACTTCCTTTAACACCCTTCTTCGTCCGTTTCACCTTCTTCTCGTCCAAAATTGACCTGGACAAGGGAGACTGAGAAATATCCATGCGGCCATGTTTTGCTCGCTTGGACATGATCATAGAACTGTTATCCTGGTCTGCCTCATGTTGATCGGATGAGTCAGACTCTGTTTCTTCACCTCCATGAAACACTCTATCACCATTTAAGGGAAACATACTAGACCCTCCATTTCGCACTGCAGCCCCTCTAAAATTCTCAGAAAAAAGCTTTGCTCGCTTCTCTGGATGAAAGGTTCTATCCTCTATCTGTTGGGAAGCTTGCAGAGATGTAAATCTATGATCAGGAAATTCTCTGCCCACCTTCAGTTTCCTGGTCTCAACATCAATACCCTCATAATCATACGAAGGATCAGTTAAGTATGCCTCTCCCTGTTGATTCTTCATCCAATATGGTTCCGAAGCATCTGCATAGCCAGCCAGATTCCTTTTCAAAGCAAGCTGTGAAGAACGGCCTTTAGCAGGTCTCATTTGTTGGTTGTATACAGGATCAATATACTTAGCCCTTCTGGAAGAATCAAGCAAACCTCTCACATTTGACGGCTTAGCAGTTAAGACTTTAATATCAGACAGCTGATTAATGTTCAAGTTCCTACCATGAGCAGCTAAATCAGGCTTTGAAGATTGATGCCGACTTGCATAATTGTCACCATCACATTCATCATCTACAAAAGCTTCATGGTTCTTTGTTGACCTGACAGGCCTCCCCCTAACCATCATATTTCCATCCATACCATTCCAATATCTCTGTGTAGCAATGCCATACATCTCTTGCTCGTCATCCCCACTAGTTGTCATAATATCATGCATAGCTGCCTTGCCCATTCTAGAGGCAACCAAGTCTGAGCCATGAGCACCAGTGTTCATGTTCTGGTGGCGATATACACGAGAATGGACACGTGATGATACTACATTCGGAGAAGGGTTTCTCATTCCAGCCACCTTCAACAATCCTTTTGGATTTTGCTGCTCATATTTGGTAACATCACCAGATCCTCCCCTTCCCCCAGAGAAATCAAAAGCAGGACTGGCACCATATAGAGGATCATATCCTGCTTTCTTCCCAGCATTCCGTCTCTTTGACCTCAACAAAGCCTCACCCGACTCCCTTTCGGAAGACTCAGACCCCATGTATTCATTCCTTTCCCCCATCAAACTCTTTTGACTTTTCGCTATATTCCAAACACGCAGTTTCTCCTCAATGCTATAACCCTTGCATTTCTGCCAAGCTTCCTTCATGAGTAAGAAATTACTGACCATTGAATCCTGATACCTCCGCAATAAATGAGTGTGCTGGTGTATCTGAAAGAAATTCAGCCCCTGGCGATACAGAGCAACTCTCGGCTCACACAGCCCTCCCTTCAACATCTGATTTAACTTAGTTATAGGACTACCAAAATGGAAATTTCCACCTCCAAACAGCTCCTTCAAGGTCAGCATGAACATCTCCTGATCCATGTCAGGCAGGTACTTTGTGAGGCCGAACCTCTCTTCCTCAGTCAAGCAATCATTCCAAACATTCAACGACAAAATTCCATGTAAATCAGGAAGATCATAAACCTCAAAAGGGATGCAACAAGTCTGGTCCCCAACTTGGCAAAATTCAGACCCGGTTTCCCCTAAATCCAACAAATCAAAATCATCCGATCCTGCCCCAGAATCAGCATCATCAAATTCATCATCATCCTCAGAATCCCCGGAATTCCTCCTACGAAACTCATCATCATCACTCGACATACTCTCCCTACTCCTACTCCCCACAGAAAACTCCGAATCCAACCGCGACACCACCTTAACGTTGTTCTTTTCAATAGCCATCTAACATAACCATTAAACACACACTAACCTCCTCCCCAACTCAGCTCAACACACTCGAATTCTTATC